TTTCAGGGTACAAAATTAACTTACAAAAATCAGTTGCATGTCTATACTCTAATAATGAACTAACAGAAAGAGAACTCAAGAATACAATCCCATTTATAATCACAACAAAAAGAATAAAATATCTAGGAATAAATTTAACCAAGGAGGTGAAAGACCTGTACAATGAAAACTATAAGACATTATTGAAAGAAATCTATGATGACATAAAGAAATGGAAAGATAGTCCATGCACATGGATTGGAAGAATAAACATAGTTAAAATGTCCATACTACCTAAAGCAATCTACAGATTCAATGCAATTCCAATCAGCATCCCAGTGACATTGTTCATTGAAATAGAACAAAGAATCCTAAAATTCATATGGGGCAACAAAAGACTACTAATAGCTAAAGCAATCCTGAAGAAAAAGAACAAAGCTGGAGGCATCACAATCCCTGACGTCAAAATATACTACCAAGCTATAGTAATCAAAACAGCATGGTACTTGTAGAAAAACAGACATACAGATCAATGGAACAGAATTGAAATCTCAGAAATAAAACCACACATCTACGGAGAGCTAATCTGTGCCAAAAGAGCTAAGAACATACAACGGAGAAAGGGAAGTCTCTTCAATAACTGGTGTTGGAAAAACTGGACAGCCACTTGCAAAAGAATGAAGTAGACCATTATCTTTCACCATACACAAAAATTAACTCAAAATGGATTAAAGACTTGAAGGTAAGACGTGAAACCATAAAACTCCTAGAGGAAAATATAGGCAGTACACTCTTTGACATCAGTCTTAGATGGATCTTTTCAAATAACATGTCTACTCAGGCAAAGGAAATAAAAGAAAAAAATAAACAACTGGGACTTCATCAGACTAAAGAGCCTCTGCAAGGCTAAGGAAACCAGGAACAAAACAAAAAGACAACCTACCAACTGAGAGAAAATATTTGCAAATCATATATCCAACAAGGGGTTAATCTCCAAAATATATAAAGAACTCATACAACTCAACAACAAAAAAAATGAACAACCTGATCAGAAAATGGGCAGAGGATATGAATAAACATGTTTCCAAAGAAGATATACAGATGGCCAACAGGCACATGAAAAGATGTTCAACATCACTAAGCCTCAGGGAAATGCAAATCAAAACTACAATGAGATATCACCTTATACCTGTTAGAATGGCTGTAATTACCATGACAGAAAACAACAAATGTTGGAGAGGATGTGGAGAAAAGGGAACCCTCATACACTGCTGGTGGGAATGCAAACTGGTGCAGCCACTATGGAAAACAGTATGGAGATTTCTCAGAAAGGTAAAAATAGAAATACCGTATGACCCAGCTATTCCACTACTGGGTATGTATCCAAAGTACTTGAAATCAACAATTCAAAGAGACTTATGCACCCCTATGTTCATTGCAGTATTATTCACTATAGCCAAGACATGGAAGCAACCTGAGAGCCCATCAACTGATGAATGGATAAGGAAGATGTGGTCTATATATGCAATGTAATACTACTCAGCTGTAAAAAACACAAAATCATCCCATTTGCAACAACATGGATGGAACTTGAGGGTATTATGTTAAGCGAAATAAGCAAGACAGAGAAAGACAAACACCACATGATTTCACTCATATGTGGAAGATAAACAAATACATGGAGAAAGAGAACACATTAGTGGTTACCAGAGGGGAAGGCGGTGTGGGAGTGGGCATAAGGGGTAAAGGGGCACATATATATGGTGACTGACAAATAATAATGTACACCTGAAATTTCACAATGGTATAAACTATTATGACCTCAATAAAATTTTAAAAAACATTAGCAAACCAAATTCAACAATACATTAAAAGTATCATACACCATGTTCAAGTGAGATTTATTCCAGGGATGCAGGCATGGTTCATTATCCGCAAGTCAACCAATGGGATACAACACATTAACAAAATGAAAGATAAAAATCATATGATTATTTCAATAAATGTAGGAAAAGCATTTGACAAAATTCAGTATCCATTTGTGATAAAAACTCAGTGAAGTGGGTATAGAGGGGATGTACCTAAACATAATAAAGGCCATATATGACTGGCTCACAACTAACACCATACTCAATGGTGAAAAGCTGAAAGCTCTTTCTCTTAAGATCAGGAACAACACAAGGATGCCCACTCTTGCCACTTTTATTCAACAGAGTATCAGATGTCCTAGCCAGAGCAAGTAGGCCAGAAAAAGAAATAAAAGTCATCCAAATCAGAAAGGAAGAAGTAAAACTGCCACTATTATCAGATGACATGATATTATATATAGAAAACCCTAAAGACTCCAACAAAAAACTGTTAGAATTAATATACAAATTCAGTAAAGTCATAGGATTCAAAACCAATACACAAAAATCTGTTGCATTTCTAGACACTAATAACAAACTATCAGAAAGAGAAATTAAGAAAAAAAAATCCCATTTACAATTGCATAAAAAAGAATAAAATACCTAGGAATAAATTTAACCAAGGAAGTTAAAGACCTGTACATTGAAAAGTTTAAGACATTGATGAAAGAAATTGAAGAAGACACAAATAATTGGAAAATTATTCCATGCTCATGGGTTGGAGAATGAATATTGTTAAAATGTACAGTCTACCCAAAGCAATCTGCAGATTCAATGCAATCCCTATCAAAATTCCAATGGCATTTTTTGCATAAGTAGAACAAACTAAAATTTGTATGGAACCACAAAAGACCTTGAATGGCTAAAGCAATCTTAAGAAAGAAGAACGAAGCTGGAGGCATCACACTCCCTGATTTCAAACTGTATTACAAAGCCATAGTAATCAAGACAGTATGTTGTTGGTATAATATAGATCAATGAAACAGAATAGAGAGCCCAGAAAGAAAACCATATATGTTCAATTAATTTATGCCAAAGAAGCCAAAAATTTACAATGGGAAAAGAACAGTCTCTTCAATAAATGATGCTGGGAAAACTGGATAGCCATATGAAAAAGAATGAAACTGGATCACTATTTTACACCATACACAAAAATGAACTCAAAATGTATTAAATTATATTTTCTTACTTGAATGTAGGACCCAAAACCATAAAATTCCTAGAAGAAATCATAGGCAGTAAGTTCTTTGACATTTGGTGATGATTTTTTGAATTTGACAGTAAAAGCAAAGGCAACAAAAGCAAAAATAAACAAGTGGAGCTACATCAAACTAAAAAGCTTCTGCACAGCAAAGAAAATCATCAACAAAATGAAAAGGCAATCTACTGAATGGGAGAAAATATTTGCAAATCATATATCTGATGAGGGGTTAATATCAAAAATGTATAAAGAACTCATACAACTAAATAGCAAAAAACCAAAGAATCCAATTAAAAATGGGCAGAGGATCTGAATAGACATTTTTCCAATTAAGACATACAAATGGCCAACAGGTACATGAAAAGTACTTCACATCACTAATCATCAGGGAAATGCAAATCAAAACCACAATGAGATATCACCTCACATATGTTAGAATGGCTATTATTAAAAAAGACAAGAAATAACAAGTGTTGGTGAGAATATGTTGAAAAGGAAACCCTGGTGCACTGTTGGTGGGAATGTAAATTGGTGCAGCCACTATGGATAAAAAAATTAAAAATAGAGCTACCATATTATCCAGCAATTCAACTTCTGGGTATTTATCTGAAGAAACTGAAAACACTAACTGGAAAAGATACATGCACCCCCATGTTCATTTCAGCATTATTTACAATAGCCAAGGTATAGAAACAACTGAAGTTTCCACTGAGGGATGAATGGATAAAGAAAATGTGGTGTATATATGTATATACAATAGAATATTATTCAGCCATAAAAAAAGAAATATTCCCATTTTTGACAACATGGATGGACCTTGAGGGCATTATGCTAAGTGAAATAAGTCAGACAGAGAAAGACAAATGCCGTGTGATCTTACTTATATGTGGAATCTAAAAAAAAAAAGACCCTGAGCTCATAGAGACAGAGAACAGATTGGTGATTGCCAGAGGTGCGGGGTGAGGGTGGGCAAAATGGATGAAGAGTGTCAAAATGTACCAACTTCCAGTTATAAAATAAACAAGCCTTGGGAATGTAATATACAGCAGGATGACTATAGTTAATAATACTGTATTGCATATTTGAAAGTTGCCAAGAGAGTAAATCTTAAAAGTGCTCATCACAAGAGAAAAAATTTTGTAACTATGTATGGTGACAGATGTTAATTAGACTTATTGTGGTGATCACTTTGCAATATATACATATATAGAATTATTATGTTGTACACCCGAAACTAACATAATGTTGTATGTCAATTACATCTCGATTGAAAAAAGAAGATTCTTGTTGTCTTCTGGCTCTCTTTTAATTGCTTTTGCATAATCAGGCAAGGTTCATGCCCTCTAGGAACCCTGTAATTGTCCAGGAAGTGTTGCTTGAAGATGTCAGAAATCTGGGAAGAATGGCCACGAGTGGGGAAGGCAGCAGAGTCTCAGCTCTGTCACTTCCTACCTGTTTGACCTTGAGCAAGATCTCTTACTTCTCTGAGCATTGATATCTTCGTTTCTAAAATGAACTTAATGTCTTCCCTACCACACACAATTGTTATAAGGACTGAAGTATAATAGCATATTATCAGGATTAGCATTCTTATCCTGCAAGTAAACTCCCCATTCTGTAGGCCACTAAGATTGTGCCCTAGGACTGGTGTCTTCTCAGTGCCTGTGATGGGTATCTTCTGAAAGCCACCTTTGAAAGGAACAAAGTTCAGAACCCACACTCAGGGACGGCGTAGGCTCAAAGTGGAGAGAGGGTGTCCAGGTTGAGTCAGGGGGATGTGTATGGCACCAAATCTCAGAAAGGGAGATTTGAACACTGAGTACTCAAATCTTGGAACTGGAACCCAAGACTGATCAATGTTATCCTTTTCTCTCCCCTCCTCCTTTTTTTCTTTTCTTCTTTTGTCGTTTCAGGTGCATGATGACTGCAGGAGACGGTTTTCCAAGGAATGCTGGTTTGGAAGTCATCGAACATCAGTCATTCCTCCCACTGCCCTCAGCGACCCTAAAGGAGATGGTGAGTTGCTAAACTTTAACCTCAGAAATACACGGAGGTGAGAGGGAAGGTACAAAGACTGGAAAAAAGGACTGTGATTAAATTATTCTCCTCAACCAGTCAAACATTTCTGGGGAGTAGGAGTAGGCATATGTGTAGAGACACCTCGTGTTTCTCTTTAGACCTTTAGAGTGGTGAATGTTGATGTTTACGGTGTATATGTATGTGGGCATGTTCTCTGTAGCATCTGTCACAATTGTTTCTGAATGATCAGAATTAATTTCAGCTTTTTCTTGATTTCCAGACACTAGATAATCCATGAAATAAGTTTGTTTACATCCAGGTGGTCAAGAAAGAACTGCATGAGGGCCCAAGTCATGTTATTTTTAGAATGGAAACTAACACCAAGGTTGTCCCCAAATCTGAAACTAACATGGTCATTGCCCCAATACACTCCATTGATGCTTTGGCAATTTCTGGACACTAGTGATTTATTGAGAACTCTATTCATAATGGATTTGAAGGCTATGAAGAGATCCAAGATATGAGCATTGCCAGACCTTATGATTATTGTGGATCCAGGACATTGATATAATATGACAAGACAAATTAAAGTAGCATATGCTAAGCACCAAAGGAGTGGTAGAGACACTTAGAGATAAGAAAATGTTAGGAGTGTCAGCCAATTGTATGTAATAGGTTGCACAGAAAGGCGATAGTAATAAAAGCAATGCAGCAAGAGTAAACTTTGTATAGAGTCTTCTATCAGGAGGTCTGGAGATGTTAGAAAAGAGGAAGCAGGGGAAAAGGAGAGGGATATATTGTTTAGTTTTATGTTCGTTTTTTAAGAATGGATGAGACATGGAGGCAGCCTCGTGTAACGGAAAAAACAAGGGCCAGGAAACTATGAGTTTTAGTCACTTACTAGCTAGGTGACCTTGGGTAAGTCACTTACATTCTCCGAGCTTCACTTACCCCATCTGTAAATGGGAATGGTTGTAATTGTACATTGTGAGGATAAGTGATAATATGTAAAGGGCCTAACTATCCAGAAACATAGCCCCAAAAGGACTGCAGAACTAAATCCTAAGTCTTCTAGCCTAATGAAAACTGTAGACCCCCACAGGGATAATTCACTCTTTAGCACTTGCTAATGCTGCCTTTTTTAGTTCATATCATGTTTCCCACTTTTTCTTTGCTGCTTTTGAGACTCTCCTTTCTGTCATTGAGTTGTTCATTTACTTCTCCCATTATTCATTATTAAATAATGAGAGCTGTCATGATCAAAATCACATACCACAGCTAAAAAGACCTGACCTATTTACTAACAGTAAGAAATTTAGAAATCTAATATATTTAGCAACTGACATGCTACCATTTCACTAAGCCTGTGAAGAGATACACTGCCCGTTAATTTCAGTTTGTGTTAGCTTCACTCTATATATGGCCAATTTCACTTACTGGAGGAAAGTTCAAACCCTTCCCGGAATGTTTAATCTATATTTTGCTAATATGCTAATTTATCCATCTCTGACACGTGGCATGGCCACTGGTCCAGAAGTGATTAGTGAACCAACACTTCATTGACTTAAAAATTATCCCCATATTGATGTTTGCTGCCTACTTCATTGCCAAGGAAGAGCTAGCATTAGCTGGGAGCAAAGAAATGAAAAGAAAGAAGAGTATATAATTTCCCTAGTCAGAGAACAGAAGGAGGCAGTGATTTCCTGTAGCTGTTACAACACAGTTTTAGAATTAGACATAGCACATGTGCACATGTGTGCACATACACACACACACTCAGAGCCACTCTAGTCTCTTCCAGTTCATTTCCCAACCCTAACACAGATACAGACATTGGTACATGGAATGAGCCATTCACATAAGTTTCTGCAGGCAAGCATACTCAAATGTCCCCATAATGACATGCACAGACACCAAGGTAACCTCACTCAGGGATGCATGCATATATTATACTCAGATCCACTGAAATATTTATCCACATAGAGTTGCCTACCACATAGTTGAGTAGAGAGGTGATGAGATTGATAACTTGGTAAATAAGAGATTCTTGAGTGGATAGGAGAAGGAAGGGACTAGGTGGAAGATGGGATTAATAGAAGAGGAGAAGTAGCAAACTAGTCAGTCAAGCAAACTCAGACTGCTAATGAAAGTCAACCTAGTTTTAAATCTGAGACTTTGCTCACCCCCACAGGGACCTGGGGGAGGATGTCTTTGAGCAAACTGAAGGATGCCTACCTCAGCATCTCACAAATCACCCCAAATAGGTGTTAAGGGTCTGCCAGCTCTCCTTTGTAATTGGCCCACAGGTTCTGTGCTTCCTGTCCTTGTGGAAGTTGTATTTTTTTTTTAGTTTGTTTTCTCCTATGCTATATCACTTCTTATTCTTGTTATAGATTGTCAACTAATGGCGTTGCTCCTTTATTTTGCTTTCTACCAATGACATAACATTATTGCTTAAAAGCACCTGAGCTAAGCCATTCTTTTTGTGTATTGTCTCATGAAATGTCCCACGAGTTAGCTTTTAGCCTTTCCTCCTAATCATCTGCAATCTTGATCCAACTGAATGTCACTCTTGAGAGCCCTTCTTTCTGTCATGTATTACTTGGCCTGTGATTTCTTAGGAATGTCTTCTAAGACCTTCCTATCTTTTTGACTCTTTCTGGCTTCTTGGCCTAGGCAAATATGCTCTTTAATGGAAGGTTCCCTGTTGGGAAGTCCCACCCCATCTTAGAGATGATAAGGTGATCTGCTCCAACCCCTCTGGCCAGGCGAGGGAATCCTTTCTCCAGCACCCAGGGTGGAGGCATCCAGCTGATGACTTTCTGAGGAAGCGCTTGCCCTTGTTGAGTAGCTCTCATCCATTCACTCATGCATTTATTCAGTCAACAGACTCTAATTTCTTTTTCTTTTTTTTTTTGTGAGGAAGATCAGCCCTGAGCTAACATCCGTGCTAATCCTCCTCTTTTTTTTTGCTGAGGAAGACCGGCTCTGAGCTAACATCTATTGCCAATCCTCCTCCTTTTTTCCCCCAAAGCCCCAGTAGATAGTTGTATGTCATAGTTGCACATCCTTCTAGTTGCTGTATGTGGAACGAGGCCTCAGCATGGCCGGAGAAGCAGTGCGTCGGTGCATGCCCGGGATCCGAACCCGGGCCACCAGTAGCGGAGCATGCGCACTTAACCGCTAAGCCACAGGGCCGACCCCAGACTCTAATTTCTGAGAATGCCTTCTAATTACCTCTTTTGCCTGCCCAGTCTGCTTGGTAAATTCCTTCTCTCATCCTATAGGGTGAGAACAAAATCAAACATTATCTCTTATTTGAAGGCTTCTGTAATTTCCGCCCCCCACTTCCTCAGACAAATTAATTACTTCCTTTGCTGTAAACCTAGAACACGTATCTCAGAGAACCTAACACACTATATTACAGCTCATCACATATCTGTCTCCTACTCCAGACTGTGAACTCTCTGTATCCCTGGAAGTTAATTCTGACCTGGGTACATGGTATATGCACAGTCAAGATTTGTTATATGAATTCATTAATACGTTTACTGAATACTGCCTATATGTAAGGCTCAGTGATGAGCAATCTAGAGAATAAGAGATGACTAAGACAGCATCCTTGATTCATATGGAGGTAAAATAGTATAGTACAGTGGTTGCCAAATGTAAGAATGCATCAGAATCATCTGGAAGACTTGTTAAAACACAGATTTCTAGGCCCTACCCTCTAGAGCTTTTGATTCAGTAGAGCTGGGTAGGGTACAAGAATTTGCATTTCTAACAAGTCCCCAGACGATGCTGCTGCTACTAGTCCTGGGAGCACTATCATTTACTAACTGTGTGACCTTGGACAAGTTACTTAACCTCTCTGTGCCTCATCCATCATTTGTCTTCTGCCAATAGGAATAATAGTTGTGCTCAGGTGCATTATGAGGGTTAAATGAGTTAACATTTGTAAAAGAGGATTTTAAAATACAGGAAAAGGATTAGTAAGCCAACCTTCTGCTAATTTAACATCCTTCTGTGGTATGAACTGAACAAATTTGAGAGGGACTGTTGGCTCCCTGGTTTGGGGCACTGTGGTTATATTAATGCAGCTCAAAGAAGCATGAGCTTTTTTTTGAAAGGCTCTTTCAGGCTGTTGACTCATCTGGAGCTTCAAGTCAGCTAAATCCACTAAGCCCTTTTCACACTTGACACCGCCAATCCAAGTTCCTATTGTCCTGTTCTGCTGCAATTTATGTCCTTGAGCCTAAAGGCCAAGCTTCACATTTGTCCCCTTTTCATCTTGTTGACTTTGACCCATCTGCCCATTGAGGTCATTTTTCAATCTTGATTCTGTCATCCAGTAGCTCTCCCTCCAGCTTTAGGTACTTCGAAGTTGACAAGCTAGCCTTCTGTTTCTATTTGAATTGATTAAAATTGTTGCTAAGTACGGGACACTCCCTTACAGTTAACATCAGCCTATTCAAAAGCAACCTTTTGGTCATGATTACTTACCTGGTTATAAATCTGCCTGACATTGCTACATTCTAGCTCACAATGCCACCCATTTTTGTCACCTTGTTCACAAGATTCTCTTGACAAACTTGGCCTTGCTCAAATTCAGATGTTCTCTGATTCTGGAGGAAATGCTAGATGGGGCTGCCCTTGTATTCTCCTGGGAATGGCTTCTGCCAGCACTGCTTCCCCTTGTCTTCTCATCTGACCAAATTAGGTTTGACACTGAAGTTCAAGTTGCCTTAATTACAGAATTTTCTCTTTATCTAGCAGCTTTACATCCCCACCCCAGTTTATTTTATTAATCATTGCAACGTGATGCTATTATACATATGGAGAAATGAAGACCCAAAGAAGTTGTTTGCTCTAGGTTAGTGAATAAACCTGGAGGGCAACCAGCTGTGGCACACAGCTGCATTTTATTGTAGAACTACACTACAGAGGGCAGCCCATGCTCCAAGCTGCCAATAGATCTATAAATGATTTCAGCTACACCCTCATGGCTCTTTAACTTATAGATAGCATTAGCATAGTTTTTTCCTATTTCTTAATTTAATTCCTGATTAGTTAACATATTCACATGGTTCAAATTTTGTTAAAAAAATAGAAACATACACACATAGTATCTAGTAAAAAAAAAACTGTCTGCTATCCTTTCTCTGATATTCTTAATCTCCTACAGCCCCACCCCATCCCCACTCACAATCAGTTGACTACTGTCATTAGTTTATTGAATACCTTCTAGTATTTCTTCATGTATATACTAGTAAATATATGTGTTCTTATCCCTCCTCTTTTTAGCACTATACACATTGTTTTGAACTTTGCTTTTTTTTCTCCTTCTCAGTATATTTTGGATATCTTTTTGTATCAAGAATAGGTTACTTCCTCACTCTTTTTTACAGCTACAAAATATCCCATTATATAGATATACCATAATTTATTTAACCAGTCTCCTATTGATGGATAATTTGGTAGTTTTCAGTCTTGTGCTATTACAAACAATGCTATAATGAGCAACTTCATACGTGTCATTTTACATGTACATCTATAGGAAAAATTCCCAGAAGTGTAATTACTGGGTCAAAATGCATATGCCTTTGTAATTTTCATAGATACTGTCAAAGTGCCCTCTCTAGGGCTTCTGTCATTTTGCACTTCCATCCTCAGTGTGTAAGTGCGTATTTCCCCATGGCCTCCTCAATCAAGTGTGTTATCTATTTTTTTTTGTTGTTTTTGCCAATCTTCTAAACAAGAAAAAATGGTACCATGGCCTAGTTTTAATTAGTATCTTTCTTATTATGAGTAAGTTTGCTCATCTTTTCACCTTTAAGAGCCAATTTATATTTCCTTTTCTCATCAGCATAACACCTAGCTTATTTCTATCTAACACTGGGAAACAAGTTAGTTCTTTGAATTGCCCATTTTGCAGATAAGGAAACTGAAGCCCAAATAGCTCACAGTAGTTGGCCTCACCTTTAGAAAGGGATTGACCCAAAGGGCCTTTGACACTGTTAAAAAAACATTGGGGGCATACACGGGTCTATTCCAGGACCTCTGTCAGCAGGAGTCCTTGCTTCCAAGTATACCTCACAGGTCAACTAGATGTTGGCAGAAAGCTGCTTATGTGAATCTTTTAATTGGGGTACATACCCAAAGTCACATATTCATCTACAGGGTGTTGACAGGAGGTTGCTGGATAAGGAAGGGAAGCACAGAGCAGAATCAGGTTCTAAAACAAAGCAGACATAAGACTAGGGCCAGGCCATGAGTTGGGGCCTGCATTGCTGGTTGGTAGGCGGCAAGCGCATAAAAAGATACCACCTTTTAACTATTTTCTTCATATATCTTATGACCTCTCCCCTAATGTTTCAATTCCATACTGAACAGTCTCACCCTTATTTTTGAACTGCTTCCTCTAACATCTTCTTGTCGTTTTAGCTGGCCCCTGTCACCTCTCTGATGCCATCTTCTGCCGCTCTCTCTCTCTCACTCCACAACAGCCATGCTATTCTCTTCACTGGTCCTCAGACACCACAGACAGTCTCCCTTCTTTGGGTCCCAGTACTTATTCTTCCTCCTGCCCCTAAAAAACTCTTCCCCCAGATATCTGTATTGTTCACTTCCTCACTTCATTCATGGCTCATCTCAAATGTCACCTCCCCTAAGAAGCTGTCCCTGACTACCCTAAAATAACACCCCCTTCAGTCTCTGTCCCCTTTCCCTGCTTCCATTTTCTTCATATCATATTATTTTCTTTCTTTATTTATTATGGTCTGTCTCCCTCCATTAGAATATAAATTCCACAAGAGCAGAGATTGTTTCTATCTTGTCCACCACTGTATTCTCAGAACATAACAAGGACAGGCACAGAGAATGCCCTCAATACATATTTGTTGAATGAATGAATTAATATGTCTTAACTACCATTGTGTCAACATATTACCTTTTGTTAAAAATAAATGTTGAAAAGGGTACCACTTTTGGATAACATGTTCAGGGAGAGTAACTACTTCCAAGCTATTCTCCTGAAGGGAGATAGCAGACTCCTGTTGTAGCTATGAGTCCTGGCAAGCCCTGAAAATTTGGTGCATCACTGGCTAGCTGGCTCAGGATGCCTTCAAGCATGACTGGCCAAGGAGTAGAAATTGGCCCATAGAGGAAGCCTGCTTTAGATTTTTCCACGCAAAACAGCCATGAAATCTGCTCAAGTCAGCAGTCTTCCTTCAGGCTCTCTTTCACCCTACAACAAGTGGGACATCTCAACCCACCTCCCTCCCCCAGCCCACACCATCCAGGAGCAAACCACATGCTTTTTGCCCTTTGCATTTATTTTTGCTGGGGCATCCCGGGTAAGCCACAAGCTCAGAGGTTTGGGGTCTCACGATTTGTCCAGCGTCTCCTAGGGGGCCACTGCTCACTGCTTGTCTCCCTGCCAAGAGGCTTTAAGACTCAGCACGAGCTGGCAGTCTTTAGCAATTTAGACTGCTATAACTCCACTTCTCTATGGTGAACTTCAGTGTTGGGGATTATTAAAAGGCTCTCTCCTGTTCAGACAATTTCCGTATAGTCTTGTTTCCCCTGAAAGTGTGTGTGATAACTTGCATTTTTCTGCCAGAGCCTTAGAGGAGTGATTAAAGGTCCCTGCTTCACCCCATGTTGATATGTTGAGTCATTAGCTCCAGGCTAAAGACCTGGTATCTTCTCACAGTGAAAATTGAGGTATCCCAGGCAGAGAGAGGACTAATTGGTGTGCTGATCCTCTTCCTGGGCTCTCAACATTCTCCTTTCTCAGTTTCCCCTCAGCATTTTATTCATCCTTGGTTGTGGCGCCAATTTCCTTATTCCTTGTGTTCCATCATACTCTTGTGTATGAGTCTGTCTCCCCAGCTTGAGGGCAGGGACTATACCCCTAGCAGTATCTAGCATGATTGGCAGGGAATAGTTGCTCAGCAAATGTGGGTTGCCTGGCAACAGCTGAGCAAAGACCAGCTGTTTTTTTTTAAATAAAAGCCCCTTTGGGTTGTGTCCTGACTTCCCCTCTGTTCCTCAGTCTCAGGAGTCTGGGGCACAAGGAAACTCTGGGAGGTGTTGTATATGTCTATTACCTTGGTATTATGGGTGTTTGCATATGTCTAAACTCATTAAATTGTACACATTAAATATGTGCAGTTCTTTGTATAGCATTTATACCTCAATAAAACTGTTAAAAAAATCTTGGCAAAATTTGATGTTAAGTCATGTCTTGTTTCCATCTCAATGGCCCTGTTCTTTTTTTCCTTCTTTTTCTTTTTGTTGTGTGCATGTATCAGGCCAATTAGTAGTATCTTCAGACTTCTGGAGTCTCGATTGGTCATCAGCCTGTTCATGTCCCCTTCTCATCTTCATCAATTCCAAAAGCGGCGATCATCAAGGGATCGTCTTTCTCCGAAAATTCAAGCAATACCTTAACCCATCTCAAGTGTTTGACCTGTCGAAGGGTGGACCTGAAGCAGGGTAAGCGTGGGGTAAGGGATATACTTGGGTATATAGAAGGGGCTTCTCCCTCTATACTTTCTAGACAAGGATAGGCTTCCTGGAATTAGTTCTAGTACCTGGGCAGGAAAGATCTATCTTCTCAAGTCAGGACACAAACACATAACTCCAGAGCATTTTGGGTTGGCTGGTTGAAGGACTTTTAGCCCTCTCCCAGGTATCCTTTCAAGCCCATGTTCTGTTCCTAGATTTGCTCTACCTTTTCAGGTTGGAAGAGGTACAACTGTGTCTCCTGATCTCAGAGGAGGAGGCAAATGAATATTGCTGTCCACCTTTCTTGTCACTCACCCTTTCTTTTTTCTGGGGCCAAACAGGTATAGCTTACTACAGGCCTGTTTTATTTGGGAACCATCTGGTTCAGCCCTGGTTTCTGTGAGCCCACTGACCACCGTGCAAGGCATTCTTTCTGGGCCTCAGCAAGTAGATTTGGCTAGGTTACTAGTAGCTTCCATAGCAAGGTTGGGCACAGGAGAGTGTGGGTTGAGGCAAAGCCTGATCTCCAGGATTGCCTGTGGGAGGATTGCCTATGATCTTAAGTACACAGAGAGATAGGGGCTAAAGGAAAGAAGGCAAATAGCCTGTCATCAGGGTGCAGTAACAGCAGTCCTTGGGTCCTGGAACATTGTAGGAAAGAGTTGTAAAACCCAGCAGTTCATGAAATGACTCCCTTTTCTCCTCTTCCTTCCAGGCTGTGCATGTTCAAGAACTTTGCTCGCTTTCGCATCGTGGTTTGTGGTGGAGATGGTAGTGTGAGCTGGGTCTTATCTCTGATTGATGCCTTTGGATTACATGAAAGGGTGAGTCCCTAGCTGACTCAGTTTAGCCATTGCTAGAGAGACTGATGGTGTGTAGCTGCTCATCCCAAGAAATCCCTAGTCTTCACTCTCCTCATCTGTGAGATACATGTTTCCCACTGGTTTCATAGTCAACCTGACCAGTAGATTCCCAGTCTAAGCCTGCTCACCTAGACCATTTTCTGGTTGTCTATCTGTGGGAAGGAGAAATGAGAGAATTAGCAGAAAAAATGAGCAGTGTTCTATTCCCCAAGCCTTAAAGTGAAGATTTGAAGGGGAGGAAAGTAAGCAAAAAAGAAGTGGCCTCAGGCAGCATTCAGCCCTCAATTTCCTATCCCTCCTGAAGCCATTGATTTTCTTCCCTGAGTCTCAAGAGTAGCAGAAACTGTCCTCTACTTCTCTCACCTCTCCTTAAACAGCCTCTGCCCTTCTGACTCCAGTAGCTTTGTCTCCTGAGGCACCTCACCTCCTTGGCCCAGCCTAGATAGAAATTTGTGGCTATATTTCTCTTTTATAAGCATGGCTATAAATATTGGCATACTCTAGCAACTTTTCCCTTTACTGATTAGGTTCTGTATTGCCAAGAATGGGGCCCAACTCCTTAGGGAAAATTTCACTCAACTTCAAACATCTTCCTATTACACTTTCTAGAATCAGAAGTCCCTTATTGCCACTGGCTTTGAGACCACAATTTTTCCCAAAGAGCACCTTCTAGGTTCTTTTATGGGTGGATCTTAGTAGAACTGTCTGAAAAGGGTGCCTGGTTTTGTTTCTTGCAGTGTCAGCTGGCAGTCATCCCACTTGGAACCGGCAATGATCTGGCCCGTGTCCTAGGTTGGGGTGCATTCTGGAACAAAAACAAGTCACCTCTAAACATCCTCAACAGAGTGGAGCAGGCTAGTGTGAGGATTCTAGACAGGTGAGTGGCTAAAAGATCAGGCCATTGTGCTTCTTCCAGTCCCATACCAGTTACTCCCAGTTATATCATCTCAATCAGGAATGTTCTAACCTCCCTCACAGAGCCTCATTGCCTTTCTGGCTTCAGTGCAGGGCAGTTAAGGGCCCTTGTCTATTAGGAGTCCAGGGTCTACCATGTATCCTTCAAACATCACTGAAGCCTCTCTTCAAACTTAAAAGATCCGAGAGCAGGTGCCCCTTGGGTAAATTTCAAGGGTTCTGTGAACCCCCTTCAAATTGCATAGCTAATCTATGTAAGCATATTTTTTCCTGGGAAATTTTCCGTCTTTCTATTCTATTCTAGAATAGTATAGAAACTGTTCAATAGCTACATCAGGTTCTCAAAGAAACTCAAAAATATCAGGGTTCATAAACAATTGGCCTCGATTGTCTCTGCTCTAGAGAAGAGAAAGTATTGCCATCCTATCTTCTGATAAATACTTTCTATGCTAGGGCATAGTATTTGCTTTATGGCTGCCAATAAGGATATCCTTGGAAAGTTTTTCAAGTTACCAAGCTGGGCCCTACCACAAAGATTCTTATTCAGTAAGTCTTGGGTAGGGCCCTGGTATGTATATTTTATAAAAGCACCTCAGGTGATCTCGATAGTCACCTCTGATTGAGAAGCACTGCTCTCCGAGAACCCTGTGGTGGAATTCTTTCCATCATACTAGCCGAGAGAAGTCATGAGGTAGAGATCCCTCTTGTAGAATACCTTGAGATCAGGTGACCTGAGATAGCTTGGGCATCCCCTACAACCCATCTTTCCCCACCACATAAACATTTTGAACTGTTTCTTGACATGTGAAGCATTGATGCCAGCCTGTGATGAAACAGAGCCCTAAATATCTTTCAACTTTATTTCAGATGGAGTGTGATGATCCGTGAGACTCCCAGACAAACCCCATTGCTAAGAGGACAAGTTGAAATGGATGTACCCCAATTTGAGGTAACTACTGCCCAGATGTAATTCAGGCCAACATCTTTATTACACAGTGAAATAATAGCCAAACCCAGAGAGAAGCTTTTGTATTGTCCATGGGCTTGATGAGAACGAGATCATTGAGGACTGGGGACATGTCAGTCAGCAGCTATTTACCAAAAACTGTGTTAGGTATTGGGGATATAATTCATTCAGCCATTTACTTATTCATTCACTCAAAAGAGTTATGGAAAATATTTATGGATTAACTACTATGTGTAAGATACTGTTCTAGGAGCTGTTCTTATATGCTAGTTGGTAAAGAATGACACAGTCCATGCTGTCATGGAGCTCACAGTCTAGTTGCAGTGGTAGAAAAATAGTTTTAATAAAGTAGTATGAGTGTTAGTATACAAGGAAGTAGAGGGGGCTGGGAACACCTAGAAGATGTACCTAACTCAGTCTGGGGGAAATCAGGGAAAGCTTCTCAGAAGAATCGCCATTTTAGAAGAGATTTAAGGATCAGAGGGAGTTAACCAGGATCATAAGAAAGAGGAGGCCTGTTCCAGACAGATAGAACAGGGTGTTTTGTTCCAAAGGCAAGAGAGAGCATAGAATATTCACAGAACTGAAATGCATTCATAATGGCTGAGGCAAAGGGGCCAAGGAAGGGGTCTGCAGGGAGAGTGACTAAAGATGAGGCTAGAGAAGTAATCAGGGACCAGGCCAGGAAGGACCTGGTAAACCATGGTAGGAAATCTGAATATTTATCCTAAGAGCAATGGGAATTATTGAAGGTTTTTTTCTTATTTTATTATGAAAATTTTTAAACATACAGCAAATTTTAAATAGTAGATTCTACCCTTAATATTTCACTATATATTTTTTTAATCACATATCTAGTCATCTATCTATTCTGCTACCGAATAGAAAGGTTTTAAGCAGAGGACTTCCATGGTATGTAGAGAAACAATTGAAGGACTAGAGGCAAGGAGAAAAGATAGGAGATGCTATAATTGTCTAGGCAAAAGAGGATGGTGATTTGGACTGGTGAAGTGATAACAGGGATAAGGAGAAGTGGACATATTTAATACACATTGAAAAGATAGAATCATCAGGACTTGGTAGATATTTGAATGTAGAAGGTGATGAAGAGGAAGAAGTAGAAGTCCTGGTTAAGAGTACAGACTCGAGGGGCCGGCCCCGTGGCTTAGCGGTTAAGTGCGCACGCTCTGCTACTGGCGGCCCAGGTTCGGATTCCGGGCGCTCACCGACACACCGCTTCTCCAGCCATGCTGAGGTGGCATCCCACATACAGCAACTAGAAGGATGTGTAACTATGACATACAACTATCTACTGGGGCTTTGGGGAAAAAAAGGAGGAGGATTGGCAATAGATGTTAGCTCAGAGCCGGTCTTCCTCATCAAAAAGAGGAGGATTAGCATGGATGTTAGCTCAGGGCTGATCTTCCTCACAAAAAAATATAAAAAAATAAAAAGAGTACAGATTCGAGACCCAGACTACCTGGAATTGAATCCTGGCTCTGCCACTTATCAGCTCCCCCTTTCCTATGCCTCAGTTTTCTGCTCTGTAAAATGAGGACAATAACAATTCTTATCTTATAGGGTTCTTATAAGGATTACATGGTATATAGATATAGTTAGCTTAGAATAGAGCCTGGCCCATAGTAAGTACTATATAAGTGGATGCTATTATTATTACTGATATTATATAAGAGGTGACACTCTGGCATTGGAAAGATGTAGGTTTGAATCCCAGATCTATTATTTACTAGCTATGAGATTGTTTATTCATTTGAAACATGGAACAAACAGTACCTCTTTCATATGAGTTTTTGAGTATTAATTTAAATGAGAGGAAACAATAGACATCTCTTATTTTTAGAATGACCACAGATCTAAGATTATCTATGGGGATCTTCAACAAGAATTCTTTGATTGTGATTATTTCCTGAGAGGCAGTTGAATTGCTGGTAAAGAGTCAGTAGGAAATAATGAGGGAATGAAGATGGACAGCACACTATGTTACAGTGGTAAGATTCCAGGGCTGAACACTCCTTTTCCCCCTAGGCTGCTGCCATCCAACACTTAGAATCTGCAACCACTGAGTTGAACAAAATCCTGAAGGCCAAGTACCCCACAGAGATGATCATCGCAACCAGGTCAGTCTTCCTTTGGCTCTCAAACTTTGAGGTGTTTTTACCCCTCATGGGCTGTTCCTCAGTCAGAGATGGGGCTCATTTTGATAGCTTGGGGTGTTGAGGCCAAGGAAAGTATATGTTTACCTTCCCAAATCGAATTTTTTCCAACTCAAACCTCCTGAATGGAAAGTTTAGGAAAAAAAAGATGAGATTGGAGTGAGGGCTCCTGCAACTCCGAAAAGACAAAGTTGCGAGCCAGAGATTTGGAAGAAGGGTTACAGAAGGGAAACACAACATTCCACACCATTCAAGAGCATAGCATAGCTTCCTACTTTAGGGACACCTTGGTTTCCATCTGATACCAGGAAAGGTCTCTGTAGTACCTTCTACAGTTGCTTTCTCATAGCCTGAGCAACATATACCCTTCTCAATATGTGAGTTTATTCATTCCTCCTGGGACTCTTTGGAGGGTTCCTGCCAAGTCTACCACACTCTCCTTTGAGAAACACTCCCCACAGGGACCGTCCTCCCAATGTCATTATGTTTGTACTAACTTAGGTGGGCCTTTGAACCATAGCTGATTTGAACCAGGGTAAAATCCTGACCCAAGCTGGATCAACTGAATTATCTTTTCTGGAAATTCAGAATTAGGACTAAGAAATTACAGTTCAACTCTCTTAGGTACTTGCATATTTCCCCATATGTACATTAAAAAGCAGAAAAAAACAAAGAGAAAGGAGAGAGGGAGTGGGGGGAGAGGGAGAAGGAGAGGGAGAGAGGAGAGATCAGGAAAGAGACAGAGAGAATGAGGTGGAGGAAGATGGAAACTGATGACATTATAAGAGAGAAGGGCTCTGGACCTCTTGGTGCATGTCATGTTGTGCCATCTATCTTATCTTTCCAGATTCCTGTGCTCAGCAGTGGAAGATTTTGTGGTTGATATTGTAAAGGCCTGGAGTCAGATAAAACAGAACAATACAGCAGTAGAGTCTGTGATTTTGAAAGTAAGTTTCCATTCCTTTTTGTCTTACATTCTTTGTGGAGCCAGGGACCTCTTTTTAATAAAAGCAATGTGTCTCTCACTGGGAATTGTGCAAGAAAGGCAAGGAGGAGCAGCTGGTAAGCTTCCCTGATGGGGAAAGTCCAACTTCATCAAACTTCCATCTTTCACCAAATGAAGAGTGGCACCATGCATGCTTATACATGTACCATGTACCTAAGCATCTTCCAAGCATCTGCCCACACCTAGACATAAGGGTACACCAAGGATATATGCACATGATTGTGTACCAGAGCATGCTTGAAAATATGTACAAACAAATACATGCTAGAAATACACTCACATTCACCTCTATAACGAGCAACAACAGCAGCTAACACTTACATAGCACTTATTCTGTGCCAGGAACTGTTCCAAGCACTTTTAATGTATTAATTTATTTAATTGTCAAAACTGCCATAGAATATAGAAGCACAAAAACGTTAATTAATTTGCCTCAGGACTCAAACTATTAAGTGATTGAGCTGGGAATCAAGCCATAATCATGCAGTGCATCCCCAAACATACACACATACAAAGGCAGATACCAGGCGCCCATGCAGAGGCATATCCACATCCATAGGAGCATGCCCATGAAAACGCCAATCCAGAAATGTTTATATTTCCCATGTTAATATCATTTTGCAGGCCAATCTGACACAAGAAAGACTTGGCAACATACATTGAGGCCTGCAGCTGCTCAGAAACAAATGATGTCTGTTTGATCCCCTGACACGTTTTGGTTATCACATCACATCTACCCAAGTACTTCTTTCCCCAAACTTTCATCTCCCACAATGTAGTTTTTTATGCTCAGTGTTCCTAGCCAACTACTACCCCTCTCCACCTTTCTCCATACCATCCCAGCTCCTCATTCTGTCCTCTCAAGCACTGGTCCCTCTTTTTTTTTTTTTTTTTTTGTGAGGAAGATCAGCCCTGAGCTAACATCCATGCTAATCCTCCTCTTTTTGCTGAGGAAGACGGGCTCTGAGCTAACATCTATTGCCAATCTTCCTCCTTTTTTTCCCCCAAAGCCCCAGTAGATAGTTGTATGTCATAGTTGCACATCCTTCTAGTTGTTGTATGTGGGACGCAGCCTCAGCATGGCCAGAGAAGCGGTGCGTCGGTGCGTGCCTGGGATCCGAACCCAGGCCACCAGTAGCGGAGCACGCGCACTTAACTGCTAAGCCACGGGGCCGGCCCGCACTGGTCCCTCTTAACAGTTCCCTGTCTCCTTTCTCCCTATATAGAGCGACTTAATGTATGAGAAGCTCAGTGTCCTGATTGATGTCCTGGCTGAGGAGGCAGCAGTTGAGAAGAGTGCTACAGAAAGTGCAGACAGTGGCAAGGCTGATGGAAAGCCCTTCATCCCTCAAATAGACCACATAGCCAAGTGCAAGTTGGAGCTGGCCACAAAGGCCAGAAATCTCCAGAAATCCTTGAAGCTCATCATATTCCAAGTTGAACAAGGTAAGAGTCCCAGCGTTGTGGTGATTGAGGCAGCGGAAAGAGAAGGTTCCAGTGGATGGTTTATTGGTCTCCCTCACTCTGGGTTTGCTATTTAGCTTCACTGAAACTTGACTAGATTCTGCATTCATATGGCATCCAAAGTCAGTCCTCAGATTCTGCTGATTTGAAAAGCCTCATTCCTGATAAGCTGCCCCTTTGATTCCTCCTACATCCCAGGCACTCAACTCTTGCTACTTGTTTATTTTTGGAACTAACACTCATCCTAAACAATTACAGCTACTAAATGGCCTAGCTCAAAGCTTTGTCAGCTTCCACCACCAGCCATGGAATTTTTTCCTACCTGCTCTTGTTTCCTTCCAACCACCAAGCCGTGACTATTTTAGAAAGAAAATAGTATTCATCTCTGCATGCCTTGCAGAGTATTAATCAGGCACAAGGGCCCGGAGAGTGGCCCTGGAAACTTTGGAATTGATTGCCATTTCCCACAACTCCTGATAATCTGCAAGCTTCTAATTCAGTATGAAAACTCTTTCAACTCCTCCAACTTCTTAATTTAACATTTTGGTTCCCACTTCTTCCCCACAATGCTTCTTTGAAAAACATGTCAGAAGATGGTGTAAGACCAAGTGTGTTCTGCTTGAGCTCTTGGAATTGAGCAGAAGTCCATATAACAAGAAAGTATCTCTGACTTTTAGCCATGGCATCTTCTCCTGCCTTGGTACCTTTAGATGTAACCGCAGCCAAGTTTCCAAGAAAGAAAGGAAATTTCCCTTCTGCGCTGTGAAAGAATTGGTCAGTTTGCCTCTATTTCTGTAGTTAGTTTCCAAATAGTGGGGATCAGATTAATCAGATGTAGCCATAACCCTGTTACAACCAACCCTTAGCTCGCTCCATCAACACATAAGTTAGATTTGGAAGTGCAGCTTGTGTCATGGTTACAAAGAAAGGCACCCTTGGTAGGATAGAGATTGAACCTATGAGCTTTGATGCAGGCTGAGCACCTGAGTTATACAACATATAAAAACTGGTGAAAAGAAGGAGACTTCTCACTTATTCTGGGTATGGGTGAGACATTTGAGTGAAAGAATGGCGTGGTCCTAGAGGCTCGAGTTTGGAACAAAAGTCATGTGAGTAAATAAATTAACAAAGAGGTGAAAATGGAGATAGAAGAGCAGAGGATTTCCCACCCTGCTCCCCCTACCCCGGCCCTGAATTTCAATTCATAACCACATTTACCGGGTGAAAGAAAAAGAATAACCAGTAAAACAAAGATATCTCAGACATGGATATGAAGATACATGGGGGCAAAACTGTAAAAAAGCTGAGACTACAAACAGCATCATGGAGGAGAAGTGATGGTCAAGTGGGAGTCTCCATTGTCTACCCACACACAGAATGGCATTAACTAAACAAAGGAGATGCTTAAGAAATGCTCAACAAATGTGACCAATCCTCCCTCCCTCCTTCCTTCCTTCCTCCCTTCCTCCCTCCATCCCTCCATCTCTCCATCTCTCCCTCCCTCCCGTTCTTCCATCCATCCTTCCTTCCTTGCTTCCTTCCTGTTTTTTTCTATAGTTCTGGATGAGCAAAGCCGACAGGCAATATCGGTTAAGAACTTTACTTCAACTTTCTTCCTGGAAGATGACTCAGAAGATATTAACCAGACGAGCCCAAAGCCCCGTAAGGATCTTTCTCTTCTCTTATTCTAGCCTTCACCACTGTCTTCTAGTTCCCAGAGAATAAAGGTGTGTTTTCATGCATCTTTTTTTTTTTTTTAAAGATTTTATTTATTTATTTTTCCCCCCAAAGCCCCAGTAGATAGTTGTATGTCATAGCTGCACATCCCTCTAGTTGCTGTATGTGGGACTCGGCCTCAGGATGGATGGAGAAGTGGTGCCTCGGTGCGCGCCCGGGATCCGAACCCGGGCCACCAGCATCGGAGCACGCACACTTAACCACCAAGCCACGGGGCCAGCCCTCATGCATCTTTCTTTAGCCATAATCCTACTCTGCAGTAGATAGTCCTTCCTCTTTCCCAGATCTCATGATCCCATGCCAATGTCCAGAAGTAACGACCCCATTAGGTACTTTTAAAAGGCTGGCCTGATGAAACCCAAGATTTGAAGCTGTTTTCACTGCCAACAAGTAAGCAGCCCAGCCTTACTATTCTCTCAGTGGAAGTCCCTGTCATCCAAGATGATCCCTCTTTGGAATGAGAACCCTGAATATTATCTAGGAGAAAGTCATTGAGCTTGACCCTGATTCCACAGAGAAAATAGGGTGAAATACAAGTCGGAGGGAAGGGCTTTCTTGTTTGTATCTGACAGCAAGGTGATTTCGTTTGTGTCTAGGTTCTCGTTGTGGCACTTTGTCTTCTATATCTTCTCTCAAAAGTGAGGACCTAGATAACCTAAATTTGGAGCACTTACATTTTACACCTGAAACTATGTGAGTATTTAGCCCTATCACCTTTGTATGGCTTCTTCCTTTCTCTGGTTCAGAGAATAGTCTAACGATACCCAGAGTCAAATCCTGACTCTACTTACTAGTTGTGTGACCTTACACAAGTAATTCAATCAATCTGAGCCTCAGTTTCCTCATGTATAAAATGGAGATAATTGTAGAACTTGCCACATAGGTTTGTTGTATTTATTGAGTTTATATATGCAAAGTACTTGCATTGAGCAGTTCTTGGCACCCATAGTAAAGTGCTATATGTGTTAACAGTTATTATTATTGTCATTATTATTATAAACACTTAATACATGTTGGCTGTTGTTATTTCAAAGGACCTGTTTTTCTACTGTTGCCTTTAACAGTAAATGATTGGAGGTACTAAAAGATAAATGGGCATTTAAAGGATTAGGTAGTAAATTTAAAGAAATCTATCTCATTAGCCCTACCTCTTTAGAATAGTTCCAGCAGCCAAGTTCCACCACATTCACTCATTTTGAGTTCCATTAAAAAGATCAGTTTGGACATCATTTAGAGAAAACCCAATTTCTGGACTGTGGTCAAGGGAGGCAAATCTCATGTGAGAGATGTAGAGTCATTTTAGTAATGAATGAAAAAAATTATCTATGATTGAGTAGCTAAACTGTACCCATTTTCAGTTTCTCAAAAGAAAGACACAACTAGAAATTATTTAAGTTTTCTGCAGCTTCCCATTTATTTTTATCTCCAACCCCCACTTCCCTCCACTTGACCATTGGTTTAAGATCATGTCTGAGGTCTCATGAACCTACCTAATGAGTTTTGATCAATGGTGTGCTGGCAAAAGTTTAACAGCCAGCTCTCTGGGGGAAAAAACGCTCTGATTTATTCCTGGTGTAAACCCTCCCACCATGGCCTATTTCAAACTGCTGATATAATGCCATTGAATGCAGACTTGGGAAGTGATAGACATAATCAGCTTACATGAGCTAGTATGAACTGGCTCCAGCACATTACTGGTTTTAATGTTGACACCCGAGATGGATGCAGAAGAATCAAAAATCTGCTTGCTTTTTTTGTTGTATATATATATGTCTACCCTCTTTTATCAGTCTTTTCCCTCAAATGTGTGGTAACTTTGCCCTTTGATGTGAAAGTGCTACAAAGGAGTTCAGACATCTTTGAAAACAGTAGTGCAGACTTTACTCTCATCATACATTTTATCTGAGATACTTAAAAGTTCTTTATGGGAATAAGTCAGTGACTCTATTTTCCGTATGTGGAGAAAATATTGGCCACTCATATCTGAGGGGCTCCAAAGATGACTTCTTTATTATGAGTCCCAATCCCACTAAATCCTCCCAACTGGCTGGGTGCCCTCCTCTTACAGCTAACAGACTAGTTATTAATACAATAGGATATATACATGTGCCTCTCAAGAACATAAAGGCTTGTGCCCAAAGTAGAAGAGGCCTTCCCTCAGTGGTTTTTGATCATGCAGATGAAGTCTGAAGCCCAATGATAACAGCACTTCTTTCCTGCACCAATGTCTGTCCTCTTCTTCCCTTTGGCTAATTTCAGACGCTTCAAAGAAAGGTGTGTCATGAACAACTATTTTGGAATTGGACTGGATGCTAAAATTTCTCTGGATTTCAACACCAGAAGAGATGAACACCCAGGACAATACAAGTAAGGAAAAGAAGCTTCCCTCCCTATATACAAACACAGAATCACAATACACACATGTATTCCTACATCCCCTAACTCTCAGACAAGCAACAGAAAGAAAGAGGTCCTTTTGAAGTAAAACACATCGGTCCCATTGTTAGCCTAGTGGGATGGCTTGCCCCAAATGTTGACCTGGTCTGTGATGACTCTGCACTGGCATCCTGAACTTGGAGCTGCCTTCATAATCTATACCTATGGATTGCTGTGGAAACACAGCTAACTGTTACTGTTACGGAAAACAGATTACATTGACTAGATTCAGCAAATTGCCTAGCTTCATTCTGCCTGTGAAAGCTTGACCAGGTCCTAGTAGTGGCTTCAGGTCTGTTTTTGCTTGGCAAGGCTGCAAAGTATCAAAGATCATCCTATTGGTTCTTGGTGTTCCTAACCTGGTCCCCCTGAACACATTGATTTTACCCCATCCAGTGTTGGCCTGCTTGGCACCTTCTGGTACTTTTGTATTGCAGACATACCCTAAGGTAGCCTCAGAGTTCTTGTGGTAAATTGAAACTACAAGTAAAAGGAAGCACAACCCCACCACCAGCACTACCCCTGCCGCTTGCCACCAGAACCTCTTTCTCAGAGCAGACCTGGGCTGAGGAACAAGTACTTTACCAGATATGTGGTTTTCAAACATTGTTTCCCAGTTGATTGTCTTTTTTTTTTTTTTATTGTTGCTCGTCTTTTCATTTTCTTAATGGTATCTTTTAAAATACAAAAGTTTTGGACTTTGTTGAGTTCTAGTTGATCAATTTTTTTCTTTTATGAACCATGCTTTTGATGCCATATCTAAGAAATCTTTGCCAACTCAAGGTCTTAAAAATTTGCTCCCAAGTTTTCTTCTAAAATTTTTGTTGTTTTTGCTCTTACATTTAAGTTTATGATCTACTTTGAGTTAATTTTTGTGTGTGGTGTGAGGTAAAGGTCTAAGTTCATCTTTTTGCTTGTGGATATCCAATTACCACAGCACCATTTTTTTTAACAGGTTTTTAGAGTTATTTATTTATTTATTTATTTTTAGGAAGATCAGCCCTGAGCTAACATCCATGCCAATCCTCCTCTTTTTGCTGAGGAAGACCGGCCCTAAGCTAACATCTATTGCCAATCCTCCTCCTTTTTTTCTATTTTTCTCCCCAAAGCCCCAGTAGATAGTTGTATGTCATAGTTGCACATCCTTCTAGTTGCTGTATGTGGGACACTGCCTCAGCGTGGCCGGAGAAGCGGTGTGTCGGTGCATGCCCGGGATCCGAACCCGGGCCGCTAGTAGCGGAGAGCATGCACTTAACCGCTAAGCCACAGGGCCAGCCCCAGCACCATTTTTTTAAGCTGTCCTTTCTCCAGGTGAATTGGGTTGGCACCTTTGTCAAAAATCAATTGACCATAAATGTAAGGATTTTTTTCTAGACTCTCACTTCTGTTCCATTGATCTATGTATCTATCCTCTGCAAGTACGACATTGTCTTGATAACGGTAGCTTTATAGTAAGTTTTGAAGTTGGGAGATGCAAGTCCTCCAACTTCGTTCTTTTTCAGATTTGTTTTGGTTGTTCTAGGCATTTTGCATTTCCATATAACTAAACTATTTTTATAGATGAGGACACTAAAGTGCCCAGAAAACTTATGGTTTTAAACAGGGTCCAAATAATTTTGTGCTAGCCTTTTTACGTTTCAAAACTCATGCCCTATGGGGACTCATTTCTGTGGCTCTACTTTAAAAGCTCTTAGTAAACTCGATTCAGCCTGTGATTGTAAGCCCCCTGCCTGTTTTTATCAGAGATTCTACAGTCAGCAGGACCTCGTCCTTCTCACTTCCACCCCAAGTCTCCCGATATCCTTGCCTGTCTCATATTCTCTCCACTGGCTCCTCCTCTACAATCTACCTCGTAAGCTTAGCTCCGTTCTATAGCACTGAATTAAGTGTTTTATATACAGGTCTTGGAAAATCCCTCCACTTTGCCAGAAAAGTTATGCTTCAAAGAAATTGCAGTCTAAGAGTCATATGTTTCAAATGAAATTGATTCCAAGCATCTGAAATCTTGTGCTCCTGGAATGGCACTCGCCAGGTTAGCTGGTGTGTACCAGCCAGTTAGGCTCACAGCTTTTTATGAGCATTGCTTTCTGAATATAGCCTGTCTCTTCCAAGTCTGAACCAATATCAGCAGCAAGGAGAAGTGACAAATCGATGGGATGCTGAGGCTTCAAGGGGGCCCAGGAACCTATTTCAGCAGGTGTTTGCATGGGGATAGCAGTTACACTATCCTAGCATCCTCTCTTGTGTCCAGTTACCATTCAACATAACTCCTTCCTATAAGAAGACACTTGAGGAATAAGATGATATCCCCTCTTGCTTTTCCTCATCCATTTATCTTTATATTATTCATCCTCTGACTACCTTTCTCTACCCTTATTTCCCTGTAGTAGCCGCATTAAGAACAAGATGTGGTATGGCCTTCTGGGAAGCAAGGAACTTTTGCAACGCTCTTACAGGAAACTGGAAGAACGAGTACACCTGGAGGTTAGTGGAAAAGAGGGTAATCTTTCCTGAGCATGGAGAAAGGAAATCTCATGACCTTGGAAATCAACTTTCCCCTATATCCTTGGTTCTTCTTGAGCTTTAACTCTGATCCTCACTCACAGCTCATGGGAGGAAGGCAGGAAGTTCAATTTCCATTTTATGGATAAGAAAATGATAGCATGAAGAGAAGACAGAGCCCTTCCCCCATCTCTGTAAATGTCCCTTCATACTGGTATCTGAAGAGCCAGCCAATGAGAGCTACTCTTTTTTTCAGTGTGATGGAGAAGCCATTTCCTTGCCAAACCTGCAAGGCATTGTAGTGCTCAACATTACCAGCTATGCTGGAGGTGTCAACTTTTGGGGAAGCAGCACAGCAACCACGGTGAGTATGGAACAAGGGACAGGGAGAGAGAAAGGCTTGACCCCTCTAAGGTATCTCAGAAAGGAGAGCTAGACTGACTGGAGTAGGAAGTGGACAATGGGAGAAGAGAAGGTGGGCTGGGGACCTTTATTAGCAGTAGCTATATGATCAGTTTTTTTAAGGCAATTACCGTTCCAGATCACAAGAATCAACCAAAGACCTCAGGATCAGATCAGTTCTTAAGTGTTGCTTGGACTTTGAATTTTCCACTCCTCAGGCCTGACAAATCCTTGAAAGGTTACCTAGGCCATGCTCTTTTCTCCAAGGGGGTCTGTCAATAAAATCTCCTGGAAAATTGGCCATGACTCCTTTCCTCTGAGCTCAACCAAGAAGGCCATGAGGCCAATGGGACTGGTCTGGGGGATTTATGATGCTCGATTGGACAGGAAGGGAACCAGCTAAGAGTTGTGATCTCAGTGCCCTTTTCCCAGATTGGCTTCCTGGCCTCAGCTTTCCCCTTTTAATATGTAGTTTCTCCACTTTTCATGAGCTAAAAAAATTCTCACCAGGAGCTTTCAAAGCATCCTTGCTTGTGATAGACGAGGTGTAGTTTCTCAAGGGTAGGACATGTGACACAGTTCTTCCTCATCAGGAATATGAGGCTCCTGCAATAGATGATGGAAAGCTGGAAGTAGTGGCAATCTTTGGTTCCGTACAGATGGCAATGTCCCGTATCATCAACCTTCATCATCATCGCATTGCCCAGGTAGGCAGGGGCTGAGTAGGCACCAGAAAAGGGCTGAGCTATGTGGCTACAGCCCAGGATGTGGGGTACTCCCAGGAAATACCTGGGTATAAGAGTGCCAGGGTGGTGGGGGCAGGTTATCTGTTGGGCAGCAAGGTGCTGGCTGAGGTTGGAGGAAGAGGTGGTAGGTACCAAAGAAGCAAAAAGCCCATAGGAAACAGGTGTTTCCTCCCTGGGATAATCTAATTCATAGTCTGCCAGTCCTGCTTCAGATACACATTAAGGCCATGACTGAGGGATTATCAGATTGGTCTATAGTAGTTGCCTCATTTTTCTCCCCTATTCTGTCTCCTCCTCTTCTCTGGCAGTGCCGTGAGGTGATGATAACCATTGATGGTGAAGAAGGTATCCCAGTGCAGGTGGATGGGGAGGCCTGGGTTCAGAAGCCAGGCCTTATCAAGATTAGATACAAGAATGCTGCCCAGATGTTGACAAGAGACCAGGTAAGAAGGGAAAGGCTCATCTTGAGCTCCTACATTGTCTCATCTACAGCTTTCACTTGAGTACTGAATATTTCCAGTCAAGAAGAATTCCTCAAAGGGAGGTCTGCATGCCACTTTTATCAGTCACCTTGAATGCTTATTAGAAATGCACATTCCTGGGCCCCACATCAGACTCAATCAGAATGAGGATGGGTAGTTCCTGGGAATTTGCATTTGTAAACAAGCTCCCTAAGACATTCTGATATATACTGACATTTGCAAACCATTGTCCAAGAGAGTGAGACAAGGAGCTCCCTCCTGTGGTTTTAGACAAAGTTGTCCTCCTCCCTCCACTGCACAGAGAGCTAAAGACCTCAGGTGGTTATGGATAAATCTGCTCTTTTAACAAGAGATTCTTCATTGAATATGGCCTTTAGGTTCCTTTAAGGTTCCTTTAAATGGTGCACTCACAAATGTCATCCACTTCAGCTAAGCCATCTAAAGCTAGAAAGGAGACGTCATTGATCAGATGTTCAGTCTTGGAGGCTTTCTTCCACTCTGACCTGTGGACAGTCCATAAAAATAGCAACAGAGAGGGTAGGGGAAGTCTAGTTTATAAACTGCCTACTTTGTGCTGGGCACTTTACATGTATTCTATCAAGTAGGTCCTCCCAACAATCCTATGAGGTAGAAACACTTATTACCATTTTACAGGTGAGGAAAATGAGGACCAGAGAGGTTAAATAATTTGCTAAAGGTCACACAACTAGTAAATGACAGAAGCATGATTCAAAATAAAACTAGATATGTCTGGCTCTAAAATCCATCACAACATATTGCCTAGATTTGGCAAAGAAGGGTATATGAAAGGTGCTCCACTGTCTTGTGGATCACAATGCCCTCATATAGCACCCTCTGGAAGGCAGACATCTGTCTTATTCAAGCACGTTGTCCCAAAACTCAGCATGGTAACAACAACAACAACAACAAAAACTAAAAGTGCCTATTATGAAAGAGGCATTGAATAAAATGATAGATAGATGTATAGGTGTTTAGATGGATGTATGGGGGAATGGATGGGGCCCTCTTTCCCCTTTACTCATTATACCCACAAATATCAGACTCACAGACAAATCTGTCACATGCCCTCTTAGCTACAACAATCCTACAGCAATCATTAGAATCTGCCACTATTTTCATCTCCAGGAGTTTGAGAACTCAATGAAAATGTGGGAGTACAAGCATACTGAAATTCAAGCTGCCTCTCAACCCCAGCTGGACTCCCAGGAAGCTCAAGATAGCCTCTCTGATGAGGAGTATGCCCAGATGCAGCACTTAGCTCGGCTTGCAGAAAACCTCATCAGCACGTAAGTGGACTGGCCCAGATACAGGGATACAGGGCTGGGAATCCCAAGAAGAGATGGGGAGAGGAAGCCAATTTGTGTCAGTTGGCTACTGGGGAGCCTGGCCTCAGAAGGAGTCTTGCCCAGAGCTCTGAAGATTAAAAGGGACTCTTGACAATCCAGGCAGGAAATAGTCTTTGTGCTCAGCAATAAGGCAGCTTAGACCTCTCCCATTAGGCCCAGAGATGAACCTTGACCTCCTCCTGCTGCCCCAGACCCAAGAGTACTAAGAATGTTTATCCTTGCCCTTAAATATCAGGAGGGCCTTGGAGTTCCTGGAGTCAGCTGCCCTCCTCTATTCTGGCCTCCCACTCTCCCAAAGCACCCAGTATCTAATTCAGGTGAGACAAGGATGGACAAAGGTGAATACCTAGAGAAGAGTAGAAACATTTTCTGGCATAAGTGGCTACCTAGAGACAAGTAGAAATAATAGGAGGAGTAAAGAATCCAGTTCAGGTACCCAAGGCTTTCATTTCTACCCTTATCCCAACCCGCACCAGCACCCCAGCCAGAAGTCCTTCAGAACTCCAGACTCATATATTGTCCTTGCTTTATTACAGACTTACTGACCTGAGCAAGGTCCACCAGCATGTGTCTGTCCTCATGGATTCTGTGAATGCCAGTGCTAACATCCTGAATGATATATTTTACAGCCAAGACAGTGGCAATGAGGCAGGTGCAGCTTCCTGTACTCCCATTGAGGTAAGGGGGGAAGGAGCAAATGAAGGAAAGGAGTCAAATCAAATAGGAAAGGGGATAAAAGAGACAGAAGGGGAGCCAGAGGCTGGGTGGAGAAACTGGGCAAATTATATGGCAGGAAACTAATGGATAGACTGGAGGGGTAGGCAGGTATTCCTTGACTTGTTACACGTCCAGAGTAGCTACTGGGGGAATCCCATAGCAAATTTCATCAGCCTGAGAGCTAGCCCTCTTCCCGGATAGCCATCGACCACACTGGCCTCAGACGAGAAATAGCCAGTGAATGGAGAGAAACTTGACCTCAGCCCTTCCTCATCCCAGGTGGATCCCTGTATAACCTGTTAAGGTGACACCTGTCATTGAAACCTGAGCTCCAGGCTGCCTTGGTTTCCTCTTGAGAAAAAGGTCCAGATTAGCATACTTGGTGTTAAATGTGCCATCCCATGACTTTACCCACTGCTAGAAGATTTAAGTGATGCTTTTATAAACTAACTTGAGTGCTAAGCAAACGACACAAAAGGGCCACATATAGGGTCAGGGCCTCCTAAAATGTGGGTTACCTATTTATTCTGGGCCAGATCTTAGTTGGAGGCGGTCTGGAGCTCAAGGAGGCCTAGAATTTCAAGAAGAGAGACAATTGGGCCCAATACCACCTACCATGGGAAAGGTGGTTTTAGCTTAATGGCAACAAGTAGCCTCAAATTTACTCTCTGGTTTGCATATATCCTGTTTCCCTCTACCTACAGCATTTAATCAATGATGCCAAATGCCAAGTTGTGCTGCGCCACTTCATAGGACACACCAATACAGCTGTACCAGTAGTTGACAGCTGGCATCAGTTCTGATTGGTTGGCGCCCATGCTGTTCTAGTTGTGCTATATTTTGAATATTACTTTTTCACCTACAGCCACATCCTACTAGCCTGCTTCTACCTTCCCATGGAGAAGCCAGCTGCATGCTTACTAACCAACAACTCCTCTGTCTTTGTCCTTTCCCTTCCTTTCTTTTCCTTTCTTCTCCTCTCAGACTCTAAACAGAAATGACGCAGTAGATGTTACATTTAGTCTTAAAGGGCTCTACGATGACACCAAAGCTTTCCTGGATGAAAACTTGGTGAGTGGAGGGGGTTGGAACAAGGGAGGGCAAAATATCCCATCTGAAGATGGTCATGGCCTATACTTGGTTCTAGGGCATTGGAAGACATGGAGGAGCATTTTGGCCAGGTGCTTACCTGACAGTCCCTGCTGTGTCATCCTCACCCAGGGTTGTCATTGATTGTATTACTCCATAGGTTATGCTAATCCATAGAGACTACCATATCCTTGAAGAAAAGTCTCTCCCTCTCCTTTGGCAAACATCTCCTGGGTCCAGACCAGGCCAATCAAAAGTAGGATGTTCTCATCATACCTAACAGAGCTTCAGTAGAAAAAGGTCGGCTCTTTTGAGCTACTCTGTATCTCCTAAATTTCCACATACCTCTCTCACCATGTGGGAAGACAGTATGAAATAGTGGGAGAAGATGGGGGACTCTACATTCAAATCCCAAATCTGCCACTTACTAGCTGTAATAGTTTTGTAAGGCTGCTGTAACAAAGCACTAAAACCTGGATGACTTAAAACAACAGAAATTTATTGTCTCATAGTTCTGTAGGCTAGAAGCCTGAAATCCAGGTGTCAGCAGGGCCATGTTCCCTCTGAAACCTATAGAGGAATCCTTCCTTGCCTCTTCCTAGCTTCTGGTGACTTTCTAGCAATCTTTGGTGTTCCTTGGCTTGTAGATGCGTTACTCCGATCCTCCATTTTCACATGGTGTTCTCCCTGTGTCTCTCTGTCTTCACTTGGCCATCTTCTTATAAGGACACCAGTCATACTAGATCAGGGACCTACCTTACTCCAGTGTGACCTCATTTTAATAACTAATTACATCTGCAATGACCCTATTTTCAAATAAAGTCAGATTCTGAGGTACTGTGGGTTAGGATTTCAACATATCTTTATTTTTGGGGGAGAGACAATTGAATCCATAACACTAGCTGTGTGTAGTCACTTCACCTTGCTGAAAGTTTCCCCATCTACAAAATAAGAATTGTAATCTCTACCTCTCCAGGTTGTTGTGAGGATTAAACAAACTATTGTACATTAAGTGCCTAGCTGTGCCTGGCACATAGTAGCAGCTTGATAGATGGTGGATTTTATTAGTGTTAGAGAAAATGGACTGAGGCTCAGTTTTTGAGCTACAAAAATAGTTGCATGTTTTTCATAATGCAAAGCCCATAGGCATGCTTGGTGAGTGTACTCTGATGAGTCAACTGATCATGACCACCCCACTTTTGGATTGGCTGCTAAGGCCCTGAGGCAGGTGTTATTCTTTCCTCTCATCTAATTAAGGTTTATTTGAAGAGAGGCTTCTGAGTTGATATTGCAAGAAGTGCATCTACTTCCCCTTTTCCATTTGCACAGGCGGCAGAGTGGCTGAGGCAATCAAGGCCAGGCTGTCCCAGCATCTGAGCCCCAAACTAGAGTCTTTCAGCCTTAGACAACAGCAACAGAAGTACCTTCTATATATAGGCAGAACTCAATGGCCTTTCTGATTTGGGCAGCAGAAAATATAAGAGCTTGGCCTCTCATTGCCACTCAAGCTTTCTTGAGGCTCATGGCCTGAATATTGATTCATACCAGCCAACAACCCAAATTGAGTGCATACCACACTTAATACAGGACCTGATAAGGAACCCCACACACATACACACATCCAAATGAGACCAGGGGGCAGGCAACAGCTAACTAATAATGACCATGTATCTCCGGAAAGGCTGTGTCACAGAGGTGGCATGGAGATAAGGCTTATTTCATTTGGGTGTTATTTTTCCTCCCCTTGAAGAAGGAGGACAGTAAGAAGCTCAGTGTTGGCAGAGGGACGTAGACTTATGATGAAGTAAATCCCACCCAGTAACTCCCACTTTCCTTATTTGGCAATCTCATTTATGCTAAAGCCAGTGATGTGTTGGGACAGGAACAAAGAAATGAGCAACAAAGTCCTCTGAGTCAGTTTGCACATTTACCTCAGATAAGAGTCCTGGACAAGGTCTTTATTGGAGCCAGAGAACAGGAGAATAGAGTGTGAGACTCAGGCCCACCCACCTACTATTTTTCAGAGCCTGAGTCTCCAGATGTCAAATAAGAAGTCATTAGGAAGCCATTTTATTCCTCTCCTGTTATGATTAGGAATCATTTTCCAAGGCACCAAATTGCTTTTTCTTCTCTGTGGCTTTGGGTTTGACTACCAAACCCCTTTTGAGCATTGCTGGTAAGTATGCCCCTAAGGACTCCCTGCCCCTTCGCCTCTTACCTTGAAGTGATGGCCATAGCTACCTGATACCCACTCTCCCCCATCCCACTGACATGTGCACACAAATATCCTGTGCATCTGGGCTACTCTGTACTGTCCTAAATCATTAGTTGTAAAAAAAAAAAAGTAAGATATTATTTGTCAGCACTGACTTGTTTCTCTCTCATATCCCAACCTGACTGGACATAGCCTCCAACCTCATCTCCCACCCATTTGTGACAGTTGGCAAGGCTTCACTTACAGCTGGAGTATCAAGTGGCCCATGCACAGCAAGAAGCCACATAAATGCCAGATTGAAAGCCCCAGGGAGGAGAGGTGAGGCCAAGTTAGGTGGGCTGGAAAGCATATCAGGGCTGAAGATATCAGCATGCATCTATTCTCTCAGCTCACTCTTTATTGGAACATGAACTACTCACCTATGTTGCTGGTCTAGGACTTGGTTCGTCTGAGTTAGAGATGGTCCCAGAAGACCCCATTTTAAGTCTCCCATGGACTGTAGAGAATTCATCCTGTGGGTGCTTGGGGTTACTAGGGAATATTTAAGCTGTGTTTCCTGAACCTGTGGGACAAGCCATCTAGAACTCATTTATTAATTAATAAGAGCGAATAGCTAGGGGCTAAAGCACAGCCTGGGGAGGCAGATCCTCTTTGCCAGGAAGGGAAATTTTGAGCCAATCTCTCTCTAGCCCTCTCCTTGCTCCACAAAGCAGCCTTTAAATTACGGTAACTCTGTAGTAAAGATCCTCCCAGCATCTGGCCACCCCACATATCCTTTCTGGGACAGTGTGGTTTAGAGGATAGGCTATAGACTTAAACAGATCTGAGTTCTGTCTAGCCATGTGATCTTGAGCACTAAACTTATTTAAGTCCGTATTCTCACCTATAAAATGAGAACAATAGTACCTTGTAAGGTATTGAAAACTTATTGGGAAGATGGGGTGAAATCATGTATGCACAGTGCCTGGCATATAGTATGTGCTCAGAAATTGGTAGCTGTTATTTAGGGGGACACTTAGATGTCTGCAGGGACTTGAGGGTCAAGGGTAGGATTCTTGTCCTGGACCCCAAGCTGTGGGGGTATAACTCAGTGTTAATTGACACCGGTCAAAGGGCCTTTCTGCTTGCCAAACTGCGAGCATGCCCAGCCCCAAGGAAAGCTCCACCATCTGGTTGTATCCTGGGTCTCCCTGTTGGAAAGAAAAGAGCTGGCTACACTTTCCCATGACCCCACGGCCAAAGGAGATGGAAGTTGGCACCCTGTGATCTCATGGCCTCTAGTAGGGACTGGGAGTAGAGGAGAAGGCAAGAATCTATGAAGGAAGGGTGCTAGGCATTGGACATTCACTCTTTTTCCTGTCTTCACCAGCTGAGAAATGCTGAGGATGAGGCCACATTGCAAACCACCCTGGATGCCATGAATAAGGAGTTTGAAAAGCTATCCAAGATCGACTGGATGAATTCAATCCTTGTTCCAAAGGTATGTGACCTGGAGATTGAAAAATAAAGGGCAAGAGGGTTTCTTCCTTGGTGCCTTACCTTCCAGTGTGGGCCAGGACACAGTGACATGTAACAGAGGGAGTCCAGTACTGGCTTTCAGCTTGAGCTTGACAGAGCCTCTTGCTCCCATCTCCTCATCATAAGTAGACAGGACAAAGCAGAAAGCACACTGAAAAATTAGATGACCATGGGAAAGTAGCCAGAAAGAACCACTCTGTGGCAGGAGATGATTGGGAAAGAATAAGCAAGATTGCTTTTTCTGTGCTGTTCTCCTGGCCACAATTACCCTTCCCTGCTCAGTGTCTGCTGCTAGGACTGAATTTCATCTGGTACCTACCATTATGGCCATACCAATTGTTTACAGCCAACATCTGTTCTAAATGGTTTGTACCCATACTATACTGGTGCTTAAATTTTCCAAATGTCACTTCTCCCTGCTGCTTCCCATCCCTCCCGCTCTGGGAGGATAGCAGACTCTCTCAGTGCCTTCCCCTAGCAGGTATGTGACTTAAAAGAAAATCAGGCGTGGCAGCAGCGGCTCCAATGTAGCTGTAGGGATGCTGTCATTTTTGGACAGTTCTGAGTCCTTTCCTAAGATCGAAAAATAATCCCATTTCATAAGTCAAATGACTCAAACATGTCCACCTATCACTAGGTAAATTACTCCCCTTTGGTCTAACAGGGTTTTTCTTTAAATTTCTCCATCATGGAACTGCTCATTTCAACCTGTAGGAATCTCTGGTTCCTCTACTCATTATACCTGTTTTCTGGCTCCATACACCAGTTATATGCATGTGAGTAAGCCATACAGGCATGTTTGGACTAGTGCACCAATCAGGCTACCATTTCAGAGAAAAATCCATATATAAATTCAGGTATTAAAGGATTTAATAACTTTCTCATATGCCTTTGCTGATGACTTTGCTGCTCTTGATCAGTAGCCCTCTAGGGAAGGAAAACATGCTGTTATGCAGAAAAGGAAGCAAACTCTTATAGTACCCCCTTTCTGTTATTACTCAGTTCAGCTATATCTCATCAAGCTCCTGAGCTAGGCAAATGGCCTGGATATTGAGAGAAATGAGACAAAGAGTCTCAGTATGTGAGTCTACCTGGCCTGAGGCATAATCTCTTTTCTGGGCTTCAGTATTTCCATAAAGAGGAAGAAGTGAAGCTCTAAAAAAGGGAAGAGTAGATTGAAAGAAAGCCAGGAAGATGTTGCTCATTCACTTGACCCCACACCTGCTCACCTTAAGGCCACAGAAGATTCAGATCCACTTTGGTGGGGGAAAGCAGTTTGAAAATCAATTATTCATTGGGTTTTCCAAGGCTTTGGCTGAGGGAAAAGGTCCTGTGCCCTACCTTTAGGTTTCTTCTGAAAGGCAATTCTGAAGGCCAGTGTACGTAGCCTAGAGGAGATAGGGTAAGTGGGAGTCAGAGCAGGAAGAGGAGGAGGATGGGTTTACACTCTTCTTCTAATGGAGGAGATCGGAGGTATAAATAATCTTGAAGAGAAGAAAATCCAAGTTTCTTGGAATGTGTTTGGCTGGGCTTTCTGGCAACAAAGTCAATCTTGGAATTCTGTCTTACTGGGACCAGTAGTAAAACAAGACACTTTAGCAGGAGTGAGAGGACTGGGAGGCTGAGCTGGAATTAAAGAGCCTTCATGATCTGTACAGCAGATAACCCACCCACATTCATAATTAAGAGCAATGTGTAGAGAACCCTCTTTGTATTTCAGACAGGGAAACAGGTGGCCTGGGAGGCAGGTTCTTCCCTATATGAAGGTATTTGGCCAAGGGAGTGAGTTGGGGCTCACCAAACCATATGTCTAAAGGAAGGGGTGCTTTTTTCTAATTCATGCAGAGGTGCCATATGAGATAGCAGTGGCCCTAGCAATCACACCCTAATCCCTAGCAACATGACCTCAGGTGACATAATTTACCTCTCTGAGCCTCTGCTTCCTCATTTCTCAAATAGAGATGATAATGGCCACCTTGCAAGGTTTTTTTGGGTTTATACGAGAGCATTTTAAAGCATCTAGCAACGCACCTAGCACAGATCTTGATAAAGATAAGTTGCCTTCCTAGGTCATAGGACTAGTGATTAGGGATGTCTCCCACACTTGGATAGATAGCAGATCTGCCTGCTTTCTGCAGCCATCCTTGTTCACCACCTTGCCAGGCCTCTAGGAATTGTTTCTGAATGTTAGGCAACTGACATTTTGACCTTCCTCTTGCTGTGGTTTCCCAGGAAAAATCCTCAGACACTGACAGTAGAAGCCTCAGATTGAAAGTTAAGTTCCCCAAATTGGGGAAGAAGAAGCTAGAAAAGGAAGACAAGCCTAAATCAGGCCGAAGAGTCCAGGGTTTTATCGGTAAGTCTACCCCACAGGCATAGGGATCATGCAGACTTCCCCAGCAGCCTGGGTACCTCCTAGGGACCTAAAGCTCCCATTAGAAATGTTCACGGGTATGGTGGTGATGGAGGGAGGAGGAGGCAAGCTGGGAGCTAACCTTAAGCAATGCCAAGTAGTCTCTAGGACAAGGTGTGAGTTAGAAAGTGATATGGACATTGGTAGGGAGAGAACCTGAGAAGGAACCTTGCTATGTGGTCTCTGATATAGACAGCTGAAGAGAAAAATGAGAACAGGTGGTTACTTTTCTGCCTGACCCCTTCCTGTCCTCAGTTGATAAGGTATGACAAAATAGTGATACTTAGATCTCTCTCCCAGTCAAATACAACTACAAGTTTTTGGTCCCACTCCAGAAAGCAGTATTGAGATGCGTTGGGGGTGTCAGTGCTGGGTAACTACAGGGTCAGAAACAGGTTCCATGACCTATCTAAACACTTTTATTCCCTGTTATAGTAAGTCCCTGGAAATACAAAATTTCTATGTTTCATTATTTGAATTTTGGCTCCATCCCTTCTTCAGAATTGGACTTAAGCATTATTGATATGTCAGTGAGGCTCGAAAGAAGGTTCTCCTAGAGTTGTCAGTTATGCCAATTCTGATGTCAATGGTCTCTCCTAAATTTTGGGCCTAGACAACTTGGAAGCTTGAGAGATATAGCAGTAGAGGACATGGGGAAATGGATGGAGGGTGGCAGTTTGTTCTGTTTTTGAGGAACTGAGAATTTACACAGATGCCAAGAGAGAATCTCCTGGACTAGGCTGTGTTTTCTCAAGTTTGGTTCAACTGGTTTGATTCCTAAGATTCTGCCGGTTGAGAGACCATGGTGTTTGAGAGTCTTTCTGGAGATTCTAAAGGGGTTAATAGTAGTTCCATGGATTATCAGGTTCTGAGAACTCATCCCATTTGTGTTTGGCTCATATGGGGTCAGCTAGTTTTCTCGGATGGTTCAGAAATGGTTGGTACCATAGGAACAAACCAGTCTGTCTCCTAACAGACTCTTTGTTTGCTCCCTTTAGGGTCCATACATTTGGGCATCTGGCAATGTGCTAACCTCATTATTTCTATACTTGTTTTCTCTCTGAAGGAAATTTATGGCATCGCAGAAAACGTGACGATGAAGCAAAAGATGATGATCCTCCAACGTCATCAAGATCTTAACTGTAACCCTTGAAAGCTGAAAGGAGAACTCAAAATATTTAGAAAGTCTACTAAAAAAACTCTTGAAACCTCAATACAGGCTAGAGTAAATTATTTCAGAACAAAAATGAGCACCACCAAGAAAGATCCTCCAATTCTTTACACTAATACATTTTTCCTGGACTCAATCAGGTCTCCTTAGAGGTTTACATTTTCTCATGGGCCAAAGATTCTTGTTTCGAGTTGTCTTGTTCAGTTCTTCTTCTCTTTGTACATCTTGAGCAACAATAGTACTTAATCAGGATAAGCTCTTTATGAATGGCCTGGGATCTACAAAGGATTCAAGGGAGTTCACCTCTTTAGGGAGTTTATGAATGGTTTTCTCTGACTGGCAGACAAACTTGATGCTCGGGAATGAATGAAAGAAAGAAATACTCTCAGGGAGATGAGGAGAGGGTCAGGACAACCAGGCTTGGTTGTGTTTCTCCCCTAATACCTGCCAGTTACAACTTGCAGCTTCAAGGGAGATCTCTTCTAGTTGGCTTATTAAGCTGAGAACTAGGTCCTGGAGGCTTGTCCACTTATCTGTTTCAATGACCATGTGAAATTTTTTCTTGTACACATGATGACTGCTCTCTCTGCAAACCCTTTGTTTTTTCATGTGTGCATGTATGTCTTTGCACATGTCCAGGTGGTGCTCTGGTGGCTGGGTGGGCCCATTGGTTGGGACTCACCCCTATGGCAACCATACAGGCTTCTACTGCCTTGATCCTAGCCTGCATGCCTCCATGGAGTGTTTGCCTGCATTCTTGCTGGATTTTTTAACTAAATGTTTTGCCGCTGTGCTGCAGTATAGATTATGTATAGAGACATAAAGATGTATATATAAAATATATATATATATATATATATTTTTTTTTTAAGAACTGAAAATACAACTCGACCTCTAAGTGACCCTATAATTTATTGTGCTAACCCAGGAATCCCTCCCCACCCTTATCCCATACCCCACCCCCATTACCCTACACATACACATATGCCTCTACCAACTGCCCTAGTTCTTGGTGGAGCTTCTAATCTTTTGGTGCATTTTCAGCGTCTTAGAAGTGGCTGGGATCTACCTATAGCTCAGCTGATTCTGACACCCCCTTAAAATTCTGAGCCAGGCCATGGAGAGGGGAACAAAAACACCAATGCCCTAGAGAAAGGGGCTAAACTGGCATGCTGCCTTTATTGCTCTATTTGTCCTGGCCTCTACATCAGCAACTTCCCCAGTCTGTGCTGTCCCCTTCCCAATAAAAAGACTGTATGGAGAAACCAGGCCTTGAGCTCTGTGACTTAGATGCCTGAGCTAGGGACGGCAAGTCACAGCCTAGAAACTTCCCCACAAGCTCCATCTTGGCCTGCATCTTCTGGACAAGCTGTTGGGTCAGTCCCCAAATCACCTTTGAATCTCCCATCTTGCTCCTTTCCTTTGAGTACAGAGGGACATTCAGAGTAACCAGAAAGAACACGGGCCTGGGAAAATGGAGGCTAAAAGCCTCTGCTTCTCCCATGGTCCTTCTTCCAAATTTTTCATGAAAACAAACTAGGCCAAAATTGCTCCAAATCCCAATTAGCATTTTTTTGAATGCCTGCTCCCAGTCAGGCAAATCTAATCAAACTCCAGTATCCAGAGAGGTTCTCTCTGGTCTGCCTTGTATCCCCACCACACCCCTCAACTCATTCCTTTGGATAGGTGTCCCTTCCCACTTATCAAGAGAAAGCCAGAAAACTGGCCTCTCCCCACTTCTAAGACCGATTTAGCGTGCTCAATTACCTGACTCGGTCCAATGGCTGGTTCATCAAGGTGCACCATCCAGACTTCAAGCACTGGTTCTCAGCTCTGGAACTCCACCAGCTTAGCCCACTTAAACCAGCCACCTGTGTTCCACCTCTGCAGGGGTGAGGAGAAAAATACTAACAAGGGGATAGTCCCCAAACGTCTGATTGCTGTGCCAAACAAACAAAAAAGTCTTAGCTCTACAACTAGAGAAGAAAGTTAATGGAAAAAGATGAGAGAAAACATTTGAAACTTATTTAAGCATCAGAATATGTTAACTTATTGTATGTATTTGAGTGGGGAGTGTGCTGTTGCTCTGTCTTTAGCTTTCTCTGCAACACTCTTTCTTTCCAGAAGGAGGTATTAGATCAAATCAGCAAAGTCACCGTTGCAGCCCAACTTGGCTCTTCTGTGGCTGCACACATTAACACCTGCACACACTCACAGAGTTGGGAACCAAGTTGCATTTTCCTTAGAAGAACCTTTTTCAAAATGGAAAATTTTCTAAATGAGAAAATTTAAGGAAACAGAAGGAAGTCCTGGGAGAGGGTTTATCTTCGAAGTGCCTAAGCAGGGCTGTGTCTTGTAATTATTTTTATCACCAATGATAGTAAACTGCAATAGGACTCCATCTCTTGTGCTTTCTTTGCTGACTTACTATATATCTTTGTACGTTGTAATGCTACTGTTGCTCTGTTGTACCATCTAGATTCCCTTTCAGCCACCCTGTCCTCCCACCCTGAGTCAGAATGATATTGAATGAAACCACTAGGATTGGGGCTAGAGTCAACTTATGGAGCAGAACTGATAAGTGATGAGGCCCAGGAGCAGGTGTGGTTTGCTAAATCGCTTGGTTACCTCCTAAATTGCCTATTTACCAGTTGCTTCCCAAAAAGAAAGACAACTTGCTTAACACCTCTTCTTGCATGTACTAGCGTGGAAACAAAGCAAGAAGTGGTGATCTCTTTCTCAAGGGAGTTGGCTTAGCCTCTGGAAATATAAGCTCCTTTCAGGACATCATTGTTAACTACTTGCAGTAATTCCGTTGCTCAGATGGTGGGACCAGACACCCAATATCCATCTCAATTATGTTCAGAGATGCCATTAAGAGCCACAGTTCTGGGGTTTGGTTGCATCTTTGGTAGTGCTTTCTGAGGAATTGATTAGGTGGCCAATTCCTGGCTAGAAGAATGGTGGGGAAGGAGAACACCAATAGACTTGGATCAACTGCTTCTGATGTTAATACAGGTCAGCAGCTATCAGTCCCCTCTCCAAAAAGGGCCTGTACTGTGTCCAAAAGGGCAGAGGAAGAAGATGGAAAAGATTTTCAACTTAATAAGTCAGGTTAAAGGTTGATCAGAAGAAACAGTTGGGGTCAACATCATCTTCCCTCAGGACACGAGCAGAAAGAATTTTACTTTCATAAAAGGTAGAAACTAATACCAAGGCAACCAAACCCATTAGCACCATTCCATCCTGTAAAGGACTTTGACTGACTATATGGTTTGTGGAATTGCATTTGTCTATTTGTCTGCTAATCTGTAATCCATGTTGTTTTCTAGTCTGTGTTTGTTTCCTCAGAGGCCCCTGCAAATGAGCAGCAGGGCCAGGGGCTGGTTGGGGGAGGAAGTAGGGTAGTTATGGGGTAATAGAAAAAAGCTGAAAGAAAAGGTCCACAAAGTGTGCCTATTCCTCCTCCCCGCCCCCAAATGGAACACTGGTCCTCAAAGTTAATACAGTTTTGCTTCTTAAAATATTTTAATAAATGGATAAACATAATCAACACTAGTGTCTCATCATTTAGCTCAGCATGGAGGGAGCTGAATGGTGGTGGAAATGGGTGGGCTTGGGTGGTCATCCAAGCTCTAAACAAGCCATATGCATGTAGGGATATGAGGGAGGAAAGCAGCAGCACAAGCCAAGAATCTTCATCAGGGTGGTTATAACACTAAAAGGGCTGCCACAAAAGGTTCTAAAACTTAGCTGCAACTCAGGACAATCCTGTGGAGAAATACCTGCCAGTGTACTTGTTCTAGAAGCCAATTCTCTGCAGGATCCAGATTTCAATGAAATGAATTATTTACTGGGGAGGTGAAGTGAGGTACAAGAGTACAGCCCAGACTGCTAAATAGATGCAAAAAGCACCTTGAAAAACTTTTGACAATACAATCTGCTCCCCTAACACATACATCACACATTCCTCTCCCCTCTAGAAGGGGAAGGAGTGTTCTGTTCAGATGCAAAATTGGTTATGTATGGGATCAAAAATGGTTCAATTTCTGCCCTACTAATGGTGACCCTGGTGGAGCCAGTTATTAGTCACATTTCATAGGTAGGCAACTGAGACTGTACTAGATCAGGATTCCACAAAATGCAACACGAAAGTGAGAACTTGCATCTTGTATATCCTTGACATTCCAATACTAAAAACTGTCTCTTACTTAGAGACAAAACAGTTGTGACCTTCAGAACAACATTTCAGTCTAACCCCATAAAAACTACATTCTTGGGCCGGCCCATAGCTTAGCAGTTAAGTGTGCGTGCTCCGCTACTGGAGGCCCAGGCTCGGATCCCCGGTGCACACCGACGCACTGCTTCTCCGGCCATGCTGAGGCCGCGTCCCACATACAGCAACTAGAAGGATGTGCAACTATGACGTACAACTATCTACTGGGGCTTTGGGGGAAAAAAAAGGAGGAGGATTGGCAATAGATGTTAGCTCAGAGCCGGTCTTCCTCAGCAAAAAGAGGAGGATTAGCATGGATGTTAGCTCAGGGCTGATCTTCCTCATACACACACACAAAAAACTACATTCTTAGGCTTTATGAGGGAAACAGCCCTGTTGCTGAGGAGCTACCACCAGGGTGGCCCTGTACTTCCTGTTAAGAAGTTTAGACTACAACCTGTAGGCTAATGAAGTACCGTCAGAATTGAATGTCTCTTTTAAATTATCAAAAAATATAATTGCTTTTTCTTCTTTTGGTGTATAATTCTGCGAATTTTAATACATGTAGACATTCTTCTAACCACCACCACTATCAGGATACAGAACAGTTTCCACTGCCCCATAAATCTTTGCATCATTCCTTTATAGCCACACTTTAACCCTACCTCTAACCACTGATCTATTTTCCATCTCTACAGTTTAGTCCTTTCAAGAATGCCATAGAATATGTAACCTTTGGAGACAAGCTTCTTT